TCAAATAAACTGGGCTTTGCAGTTATTTAATATATCTAAGTACTCTTATTGTGCATACAATTGTTTTACCCGACTAAACTCAAAACTAAACTCAAAAGCTCAAACTAAACTCAACTTAGTGTGTCTAATCATATTATAGTGAAGCGTTGCAAATTTATATGTCACAAAATGTTGTAGAATCGACATCTGTAATAAACTACGTGTGCATTCTCTTGGAGTGCTGTCACGCCCGGCAAATCATCGTACAAAGGGCGTTTCGTGACGCTACTCGTAGTGTCCCATTGTAAGCCGTCATTAGATATCGATGAAGCTTTCGCATTGTGACTGAGCCATCATTTTCAGATGTCAAGGAATTGTAAACGATCTGCCATATGTTTGCGGTTTTAATGTAGAATATTATTTATGATTATGTCCATGCCCATTGCTAGGTTATGCTTGTACCTCTGTAGTAATTTGATGTCGGTTTTGTTGGGAGCTAAATAATTTTTCGTGTTTGTTGATTTAAAATGTGATATTAGTTTAATAGTTTCATGTTAAGACTTTTTAAGTGTTTTTGGCACTAATTTAAATATTACAAAATTAGAATTATATACTTATATTTTGTCATGATTTCTATAGGACAAAAGAAAGCGAACAAATTTTAATATGAATATCAATTAAAGTATTCCCACTACATACCCACACAAAATGAATAAACTTTATACATACAACTCCAGCTCCCAAAAATAACAATAATGGAAACCACAACAAAATAATCAACGGGATTTAAGCCAATATTTGAACAGTCTAACCAAAAAATATCCCACATTTGCATAATTTCTAACAAAACGCGAGAACAAGGGAACCCTTCTAAATGACGCGTTAAATACTCTCCAACAACATCATTATACGTGTAGGTTTGGGCGCGTCAGAAAAACTCATAAAAACTCAAATCAACTGAACGCGACAATGCCACCGGGGCGCCTTTTGAATATCCTCTAAGAAATTTGTTACGAAGATTTTGATGGGTGACAACCCGCTTTGTTCAGTGCCCTGTAGTCTGTACATATGTGCGGTGCGTTTATTACTATGAATTTGTTTTGGGGTCTTCAAGCGACTAAGCGTTAATGTTGCAAGTTTTATTTGTTATTATTCGACGCCGGGTGCTACGAGTCAGTATTGAGTGGAAATTTATAGGGATGTATTGTCTGATACCCCTTGAAATGTGACTTATGTGTAAACTGGGTGTGGCAACGGTTTTTGCTCATATATTTTATTATGAATCACGATTTTTTCGTTTGAGGTATCATCAACTCAACTTAAAAACAATTTAGATAAAAGAATCTTCAGGTTTATATAAAATGATTAAACATTTGAAACAAAAACTATTTTGTATGTATATATTATTTTGGTTTGACTAAAGTTTTTGACGTATCAAAAGTTATGAATGTAAAATGAAAAAATATATATAAATGTCAAATATTCGCGTAAATGTAAGAAAGTATTATGTTTATTATACGTCGAGTTATATTCGTTTTGGATAAATAGTATAGTTATCACATATTAGCTGCTTAATATGTAGAATCCTACTGCGACGGTTTTTCTCGAAATATATCAGAGTGACAGACTCACAGACGACTCTGCTGGAGACTGGGCTTACTTGCTAGAGCAAATGTTAGGACCCCGAGCACTATCAACACTATTATTACGTATATTAAATAACGTTATACATCTATTTACGATGTCAATATGTATGCTTACGGAAGCAAATTAACTTTTACTACTTTGTTTTTTACTTATTTTGATTTTCTTGTGTATTCTATTTTTGTATTTTAATATTTTTTTAAAACTGTACCGATTAATCTTTTACAAGTAGAAACAAATTAACATATTGTACTAATTATTATTTAATTAGATTGTTTCTGCTATAGGTACCAGAGCTTGGTGGGGGAGCTAATTAATACATTTTAATTATAATTTTATGCAAGCGTTAACTTAACCAAAGCGTAAATCGCCATTGGCATGAATGTATAGAGAAATACACATCTTCATATTATATATAAGCTCTAAGTTAATTTAGATAGAATCCAAGAGTTGGTATTTCGTGCATTTCTAGCACTTTTCTCATTCTAAAAATACGACAAGTACATATTCTCTTGAATTTAAAATGTCATAGACATATTTCGCCAAAATAGCTCAATTTGAAATCATAAACACGATTTTAAAATACAAATACAGTACAATTGAAAGTGCTTAAACCAATACACCGTTCTATTTGAGTCACGTACCAAATATTTGATTAAATGAATTTGTTCGTTTGATTATCTCAGAGCTTGGGGAGTGGTATTATGCAACGCCTCTATTAGATTACAATCGTCACACCCCCCGCGAACGAACACAACACATGTCGAATTCACAATGACTATAAATGTACGGTGTTATTATTTTATTACATCGCTTTAAAGTATTGTTTTCGTTGGCTTCTGTTCATTTGTTGTGAACAAAATTTTAGAATTGCCATTTCATAAAGTTACTTGCGTCTTGTTAGATGTTTTTTGAGTTAACACGCAACATTTCATTTGTACAAGTATTTAGTTATAGGTGTATTATTTTATAAAGCCTTTTATATCTTAAAGATTTCTGAGAAAGAAATGTAAAAAAGTAGGTGATTTAATAATTAATATAGTTAGAGCAGGAATTTCTTAGAATTAAAATCCGTAAATGTTATGTTTTGTAACTTTAATTTCCATAAATACCTATAAGTGGTACCTCACAGCGATTTCTTTTACTCAATTTGTGTACGTTTTGCTATTAAAGCGATATTAAAGAACAAAACCATTATTTGTTAAAAAGTATATAGATATATAGTAATTGTAATATAGAGCGATACATATAATTTATTGCACTTGTATAGGATATAGGCTAAGTTTATTAAAATTGCACGCAAAATATTAATAAATTCATATAAATAAATTTAAAGTTGAAGTGTCTATATGTGACTTCCCAGCAACTGCTCCATATTAAACTCGTTATATTAATTTCACGATACAAAATTCAATTATCGTAAACGATAAACCGCTGCTTGTTTAACGTTCAAGCTGGGTCGCATGCAAAAAATAGTAAATAGAATTTTTTTGTAAACAATTATACTCCGTTAAGTTTTATTTTAAAAAGTATATAAGAAATCCTATTCCCTCCAACAGTAGAAATATAATAATCTTATTTTACCTACCAATCTCCTTCGTGTCTTCTCCATTGAACGTGACATTGGCGCAGTAATCTGTGCTCAACTGGCACGCTTTGAAATCATTTAAAAGAGAATTGAATTGAATAGAACAGTTGACTTCAAACAGGTAACCTAAATTAAGTTACCATTGGTTGAGATATGGAGACCACAAAAGATTGAAAAACAGTCAAACAAACATGGGGTGTATGGTTTATTTTAATTTTGGACATTTGTTTTTTAAAAGCTTTGTATCTTACAAAGCTATCAAAGATTAAGGTAAAGTAAAATGAAAAGTATATTTTTAAGTTTAATCTGCTTGTTATCTCTATCTTATCTTGTATTTAAAATTAAATAAAATATTATACCAGAAGTTTTATATATACAAAAATATTTTGATATAACGAGCGTCGAGCAGGTATACATTTTGCCAATATGTATTTAAATTTAAGATAGTGCCTATATATAAATATATATAAACTGAAATCAATTATAATCAGCTTATTTTAATTATTGTAGTATAAATATATATCGATATTATATGTTATTTATTAAACTGATAAGTTTTTAATATTACAATAAGCTTTTTATTTTAAGGTAAGATTTCGAATGTATTTGCAATGGATTTTGTTTAGAGTCAGTGTTTGTAATCGATAGATAATGGTAACTATCCCATATTATTTGTAACAAGCAATAAATTCATTTTAAAAATGGGTAAAACATATAAGTTTTTGTAGAAAGATTACTCGTAGGACTGAAATTTTCTTTTGGGTCCAACCACTATAATATATAAGTTCACCTTTGACAAAGATATCGCACGCTAAAAGCAATGTACACCAAAATGAAGATAACTTCGCTTTGTGTAAAGTCAGTCTATAATTGGTAAAATCGAAGTAAGGTTTGCTAAACTGGCACGTTTTGAGGCCATTAACAAGAAAATTGAATTGAATTCTACTAGTTAAAATATCAGCTACATGTGTATAAAAGCTTTATATAAAATAAATAAATAAATATGTGGGGACATTAACACACATCACCATCTAGTTCCATTGTAAGCTACGAGGCCTGTGTTATGGATACCAGATAGTTGGTACAATACCAATATTAAACGTTTTAAATACATACATATTATAAATATATTATATAATACTTACATTTAATATTCTTTAATGAGAAAAATATGTTTGTTATAGAAATAATTGACTTATTATTTATTCGACATTATTTTAATTTAGTGTAGATATTAAACTATAGACTAAAGTTCCGTCGTAATTACGTACTAACAGAATTAACAAATGTATTACAATAATCGATTTTATATGGTAAAATAAAAATCGATATTATAATATTTCCAAATATATAGGTATGTAGTAATATGATTCGAAATAATCGATTTTATTAAAATAAATTCAATATCTATACATATAATAAAATTGTAACTAAGCCGAATATGTACATTAAATATTTCTTGGAAAATCTTATTGCAATAAACATTATTATCAATGCGGAGGCCAAATCTATAGTTTTTAGAATTTTTATCTGTCTGTCTGTTACCGCATCACAGAAAAACCACTGGAGGGATTTTGATGAAAATTGTTATGGTGATAGCTAATGGTCAACATATAGGATACTTTGTACCGCGGGAAAATGTCTCATTTTTGAGAAAAAATACAAAAACTGCAATGTAAAAGTAACTAATATGTCAAACCTAAGAATTTGGTTTTTGGTCATCTGAACGCGGGCGGAACCGCGGGCAATGCTTGTACCCTATAAAAATGTAGTAAAATGATTCCATTAAATGATTTTAAAAATAAGTTTCTCTTTGGTCAAACAGACGGAGCATCGCACTTGCTGCGCTTGCGGCGAGCCTATTGCCGACCGTTTCTTACTAGAAGTGGGTGGCGGTGCATGGCATACTGGGTGCCTTCGATGTTGCGTGTGCGCAGTGCAGCTAGACCGACACCCCTCGTGCTTCCTCAGGGACAGGCAGGTGTACTGCAAACAAGATTATGCGAAGTGAGTACTAATTTTACTATTATTGCCTTGCTACTGTTCATAAAAAGCTTTCCCGTTTGTACAATGTACATACTGTTCTTAAAAGAAATACACCAATATTGATATTAAATAATATATTAGTAGTTATAACTGGCATTATAATATATATTGCTTTTTGAAACGTATAGATAATTTGCTTAACATAAACTAAATTATAGATAATTATGGTTTATATTCTTCATTGTTATTTTGTTATTAACTTTGATTGAACAGCTTAAATTATAAATAAATTGTAACGACCAACTTGTTAGGAAATTGATAAAAAATTGTTACGATACTCAGAATGTAAATAAATTCTTTAATAACTCAATCGTTATCGTGAAGGCCGGACACGCGAAACTGATGCGCGTAAACGATCAAAAATCTAAAGTTACATCGTTAACGGCTCGCCTTTACAATAAATACTACGTCCAATTAACCTTCATATGGGAAGTATGAAGATTGAATCAGATGGAATTGTTTGGTCCATTTGAGGTACTTTGAAGTATAATTAAAGTACACTCTATATTATTTTATTTGCCGAATACCAGACTTAAACGAAGACGGGTCAAAGGTAATATAATGTGTATAAAGCTTTAAATTCTCAAGTCATGATACGATGTCATGTAGAGATGGTCATTGTGGGTCGGCTGGTATGTGGTAGACGCCTGTGACCCCTGCACCACGCTGTGTGGCCGTGATACTGCATTATAGCAAATCGAACCATTCGTGCAATGGATATCTATTATTTGCTTTCTATTACAAGTATCAATACAAGATAGCATCGTCAATTGAATTTAAATTATTGTTAAAATTGTGCGATATCTCCATAGTTCCGACTGTGCGATTAAATGTAAGCATAATTGTAGATCTGATATTATACTGTGTTCAGCGCAGCATTTAGCGCAGTATTTTTTTGGTAACAGTTGAACTTAAATAGATCATTAAAAACTAACGAATAGAATAGGTTTAGTCAAATATTTTTAGTTTAAGACGCAGTTCATGTAATGGTCTAATTAAATATTTTACCCTTAACGAGGTGAAAAAGTCTTTTATGAAACATGGTTTCGTTATACATACATACGTATTATATTATCCTTCAAGGCAGATCTCAACTGGCTCTATCAAAATTGAAGTCATATGGTAATAAAAGCAACAGGTGCGTGAGAATTCCCTATCATGTCAAAAAAAGAGGGCGATGTCCTGAGAGTGGTTTTATTGAAAATCTCCACACGAGTGTACACAACAAAGCGTCGACGGGGAATGTTAGCGTAAAAAAATACCTGCGGCATGACTTGCAACAATAACGTTTTCATTTGTCATTTATTTTGATTGTGATAAGTCGATGCGACGTGGAACGATATATTTTAATCGGAACGGGGTCGGATATGTAGGAGCGACCACCCCGTTTGAGATATGGCTCCTTTTGGCGATCGATTGGGATAGGAAGATCGGGGAATCACATTGTTCCTGATCATGAGTTAATTTATGTTTAATAAAAAGATTGTGGTTATCTTAGAGAGTATATTATTTAGTACTAGTCATTTATTATGCACTAGTTCTATATTAATACTAGCGGACCCGACAGACGTTGTCCTGTCTACACGTCTTTAATTTGAAAATTTCAAACTTTTTTTAATAATTTTTTTAATGAAAATATTATTCAAATTGTGAATCTAAACCATTCCCAGATCCCCTTGAACACACACAAAAAATTTCATCAAAATCGGTCCAGTCGTTTGAGAGAAGTTCAGTGACATACACACTCACAGAAGAATTATATATATAAAGATTGGAAGTATAGTAATACTATATATTTCAGTTTTTATATTATGATGTAGTTATGATTAGGACAAAATACCAGAAAGATGCTGTTGCCAGCGATGTTTCTCTCGACTGCCAAAGTACAATCAAAATCATTTAACATTTCCACAAAACTACGAAATATGAAAATATAGTACAAAGCAGACCATATCTCAGTCCAATTCAATGGAAGGCTTAATAAAATCATTGAATGCCCCCAAACGATGTGACGGCATGAGTAGTGTGGATATGACACTCGCGCCGATAGGTCACCGCGTGTCAAACCGCAGTCTTCACGATGCTCGAGGATCACTGGATCCTTGACATTAAGTGCCGCTTGAGTAACTATTTATATTTTATTTACCATACTATAATTACGGCCTTTGTTGATTCGAAGACTTACTCGACCGCGGCGAATGCTCATGTCATTTTTTACGGTTTATAACGCCAGTATGAAATATTATATAGTTTTTGCTATCAAAATCACATTTTGTACTGCCACCTTATAAGGTACGCTCTGTCAAGCGACAAAGAGTTATTTATGACTAACTTTGTTAGCGCTTAACACCTATTTTAAGCGATTAAACGAAGCGGCAGAAGCCACACGTCGCTGGTGTGAAATGAATGTTTATTCATTAAGACTTAGAGAGTGAGGTTTTTAAATTTTGACAAATGGAGCCCCAATAATATCTTGGGAACATAAACAGTTGAGCAAATAAGCCATAAATTACAGGTCTAGTTTATTGATGCTGATACAAACCCGTTCAAAGTGTACTTTGATTGGACCCATCTTTTATGGCTTATACAGTGTTTTGCTCATTATAATTCTAATTGGGGGCAAGTTAATTATTACGAATTTGTTTCTCATCTTTCTATATAGCTATGTACTTAGTGGATTTTAAATTTAAATTCAAATAAGTTACTTTTGTATTAAATGCCTCAATGTTTAACGTTAATTACGTAAAAAAATATAATTAATAACCATGAAAAATGCTTTAAAATATATTTTATTTAAAATAATAAATGTATTTACTTATCAGTAATAATTTAAAGCCAAAATTTATTGTATAGGTATATTAAATTTATTTTTCATTGCCCAAGATTATTTGAGGTAAGAGGAGAAAATAATAAAAAACAATATCTAATGCATATAATAAAATTGTAACTAAACCGAATCTGTATATTAAATATTTTTTGGAAAATCTTATTGAAATAAACATTATTATCGATACAGAGGCCGTATCTATAGATTTTAGATTTTTTGTCTGTCTGTCTGTCTGCTACCGCATCACAGAAAAATCACTGGAGAGATTTTGACGAAATTTGGTATGATGATAGCTGGTTATCCGGGTCAACATATAGCATACTTTTTACCGCGGGAAAATATCTAATTTCTGAGAAAAAATGCAAAAACTGCAATGTAAGAGTATACTAACTGTAAAACCTAAGAATTTGCTTTTTGGTTATCTGAACGCGGGCGGAGCCGCGGGCTAGTTATATATAAGAATTAAAATATATATATACTGAAATTGACCATTCCTTCATTGACCTAAATGAAGTTTTTTGAAAATCATTTCGAATAATAACTGTGATGACCCAGAAAATATTTTATCTTAAGTTAGTTGAACACGTGAATTGTAATTATAAAATTAACATAATTTATATAAAAGGTTGCACTCAAATTGTTAACATTAATTTTAAATTATGTACTGTAATTTTTAAATTAATCATTGCTATTTATATTTTGCCTTGTTTTTCAAGAAGCAAGTCTTGGAAACGTCATTAAATAACAAAATTTGTAACTTTAAGTTTAAAATAGTGTCAAAAATTAAGGTAACTAGTCCAAATATTTTTCTTGCATCCTAACTTCTAAAACTCTCAACGAAGATATACCCAAAGAGATTGTAAGATAAAAGAAACTACAAACTACTATACAATGTCACCAAATTTAAACTTATTCTCAGATTTTAACTGTCTGATGGTACTTACTTAAATAACTTAAAAAAGCACCATTTCCATAATCGCTTAAAGAATCAACATCGTTAACTGCAAAGGCATATAAATATCGTGGTGCATAACGAGTGTTGGCTGTAAATCGGTGGTCGCCGGAGGCTACCACAGTAATTGCTTTCTGATATATCAAATGTTTATTGTTTATTTAGCGCGCCTTTTTGTAAGGTAGCGCCTCCTCGCCTCGCCGTCGTCCACTTGCCTTTGTTTAACAGATCCGTTTTTAATTGGAATCCTTAGTTCTATTATTGGGTTGGATGAATTACTTATTAAACATGTACATTTCGTTATCGACTTAAACTTTAAGTTTTAAGACTAGTTATTGATTGATTTTAGCATTTCTATTTATATGATTGCAACTTATGAAATACATATTAAAAGTAATATTTGTGGTAGTCTAAATATATTTAATAAAGTAGCTTCACAAATGAAAAGTCCCAAAAAATATATAATATGTACAACACACATCTCAGTACGGGACAACATATTATAATTATGTATAACTTTTTATTGAAAATTATTGATGATGAAAGATTTTGGCACTCGCGATGAGTTATCCAATCGCTTAATAAAACAAATTCTGTAGCAATTGTTTTCGAAACTACCAAAACAGCTTACAATATTGCTCACTAAAAAGTAACATTAACATCTCTTATAACTTTATTCACCCTTCGTGTATATAATATATATTGCACATGGAATAAAAAGTTTCTATCGGTCGAAGTCAATAAAAAGACTCAACAGTACAGTAGTAGAATACCAACACTAGGAGAAAATATAATATCTTTATAATAGACTAATGCTGTTAAACTTAGGTTAAAAGTAAAAATACTTGTGCAATACAAAGGAATACAAAATAAATATAAAACCGATATAACCTCTTCATAAATTACATCAAATTAATAAAACTTATTTGCAATTAACATGACGTCTACGGATAGTTAGTTCAATACAAATTACAAAATCATCACTAGCATAAAACACTCTAAAACTAATACTTTGCCATAATAAAAATGCCATACAAGGTAATTACAATATAATCAATAGAAACATGTACGTATCAATCAAACCGCATAAAGGCCAAGAAAACAAAAGCTCAATAAATACGTTGACTAATAAAAAACATGAGCCTTTTAATTGCTCTACATTTGCACATTAGAGTCAGTGAG